CTGAAATGGTCGCCCAAGTATAAACCGAAGACAAGGATCTTTAGAACAACCCTCATATGGGGTTGCTTTTACCCCTACATCATTTTGCACCATGTGTTTGGAAAATCTGTGTGGCGGATGCCTGAACCCCAAGCTTACATCCTTCACCGCTCACTTCAAAATCCCTCAAACCCCCAAGCCCTACCGCCCCCTAAACCTTCAACCTGGATCCCTATATCCTGACCCCCAAACCCCAGACCACAGGTGCCAGCCTGGACTTTTTCAGTTCCTCGTCCAAATGAGCAAAGTCATTGTAGCGGCGCTGCACCATCCAAGATCTACCGCTCCTGAACTTGAGGTTCAAATGGATATCTCGGCTCAAGGTTTAAGGTTAGGGCGATTAGGGGCTGAGGTCAAGGGTCAGGCCGTATGGTGTAGAGCCTTCACGTAACATTTGTAAAGCTCCCCCAATCCTAGAAAGAACCTTTATGAAGGCTGCTTACTAGTGCATCCTGAGATGTTGGGAGATGTTACATGTTGAGAGCGCTATGCAAACTGAATAAGGAGTGGAGACCTCCCAGAAAAGAGCCTTGTTTGAGGCCTCAGGCCAAGTGCAACATCATGTACGCGGGTTCCAAAATCATCGTCCCACTTCGGGGGCTCCTGTATCATGAGCTCCACTATCTGAAGATCATAGACAACCACGACCGTTGAGTATGGACGCAAGAAGCTGCAGATTCTGGGCCCCAGGCAAATTGCAGCATATATGGTTCAAAGATAACTGGTGCGTAGCTTGGCTTCTCAAACCAGCCACTGAAAACAAAGGCGTTAAGAAAACAAACTGTGACATGAGTATTGGCACGTTTGCATGACCGTCATGTCGCAGATTCTTCTACCAAGCGCCTGCATATAGTACCGAAAGAAATCTTCTGCGCCGCACGGACTTCGTGCACGCACTGAGCACTGGCGGTTGTAAATGGCATCTCTGCTTCTGCCGAAGCCGGCAGACCAGGCCAGAAATTTCATGCCCAAAGCCGATCCGGCAACGGATACTAGAAAAGGGCCATCATGTGACCCATGACGTCGTACCCCCGAAAGCAAGTGCGACAGGTATCATGGCACCACAAGAATGACATGAGAATCCAGGACAGCCCGTGCACACACGTAGTACAGGGAAATGAAGCGCGACCCAAGTAGCTGGTTTCCGCAAAGCATTGGGGGCCAAGAGATTCCTAAAAACTCGTTTGAGGTCACAGAGACCAAAGATAACCAAAGGAAAAAGAGCACGTGCTTGCGCAAAGAATTGTGCTCCACATTGCAAACATTTTTCCTTACACGGCATAGTATGGGTCCCCACGCACGAAATCTGTTACGAAGGTTGCGTTTGTACCACAAGACTCGTGCTTGGCCTTCACGTCGCATCAATGGGTCATCTGAGCATAATTGGCACCCAACGCTCCAGGCTTTAGTGTTCAATGGCTCGCTGCTCCTGTTCGACTGCAAGAAATGACCCCACCCCTCCCCTCACCCGCTGTGCAAATGCGGAAGGAAGCCGGCAGCTACTCACTTCCTGCATTGCGCCCAGATAAAAGCGATTGCAGTATAAAGGAGTGACCTTTATCATTTGAAATGTTGCGATTCGGCTACAAGTACTTCAAGGTGAGCAGACACGCTTCATATCACAGTCCTCACTGCACGGACAGGAAACCAAAATTTTGAAGCTTCACTTCTGATAGACTGGTCTCGTCCCTCTGGATCTTTGACGCGTCTCAGCATGGGGCCGAGGTTTGATACAAAACGCCCGCTACAAAAGCATTCAAAGAGACGCTCGTGAATCCCGTGGTTCATCTTCCCAGCTACAAGTTTAGAAGAGCCCAAAATGGCAAAACGAATGGATACTAAAGTCAATTCCCAGCGGCAACTTGGACAAATTCCTACCTCCGGTCAAGGCTTTCAACTGCACAAAGCCCCCGTCTGAAAGAAGCGAAACCCTCAAACAGGAGATGGTGCCTGTGGCAATGGGCCCAAAACCTCTGGCAAACAGATTTTTATAACTCGGCCGGGATCCTGTTAAGCCCAGAACCCAAAACCAGTACACACAATATTGCATAACAATAAGAAGAAGCTCCAACATTATGAAGGCAGCCGGCGCAGCGTCTTCCAGGGCTAAATGTATCTTGAAACCCTAAGCCCTAAGGGTCCCAGTACTCAAGAATGATATACTTACCCAAAACCTGTACTTCAATTTCTTTTACCAATACCTCAAAGGCTACCTGGACCCCTCGAAGTTCCAAACCCTGAACCCTACATTACCTTTCAAAGGCCCCGCTAACTGAACCCCAAACCCTTAACCACAGTAGTTCTTGTGAGCTGCAGTCTGAACTCCGAGCATACCCTTGATAAACCCTATACTACTTCCCGATATACTCCCCTATATATACCCCCTCGAAGGAGTTTAGACTATGGCTCATATCATGGGTTGCCCTACCACCCCGCCCCTGTATGGAGGGGGTTAGTAGGGGAATCATATATCCCTTTAAAGGACCTTCACGCGTCAGGCTAAGGCCCCCATGCAAGCTAAACGGTCTTTCCGACGAGTTAGGTGAATTTTTTTGGCCTGAGAAAAAGGGGGGTTCGGGTTTAGGTTTTAAGTTGCCCATAGCTCGGGGTTACAAGGGGGATGTAGGCCTTATATGGGGTTTATATACGTGTCATATAGGGTTTAGGGTTTCTCAAAAGTAGGGGTACCCCCTTGGGGTCCCCATGAAATGGCTTGTCATCTTGGGGTCTATCTTGTCCATACTCACAGAACTGCACCAGGAATCTATCCCCAGGGTTCCTCGTGTAGCCCGCTGTTGTAAGACTTGTTGGGTTACAGTAGGCCACGCACGTGATTCCCGAACTAAATCCTAAACCTGAAGCCAAACCTCAAATCCTAAGCTTACACTCTATACATTTCAAGATGTTTCCTGCGTATCAGTAAAGAGCTGCTCACAAGGTACGGATGTCTGATGCTTGAATATACCTACCTGCCGGCTCGGAAGCTCGCAAGAAACTGCAGGCTTGAGTATAAACATCAGGAGCATATGCGAGGAGCTACAAGAAGACAGGAATTTCGGATTTTCGGGATATCTCCATATGTTTTGAGCGGTCATCTTAAACATCTCTTAGACCTTCCAGTGAGCACTGAGGGCGCAACTCATTTGTCACCTCGAGGTTGTACCACATCACTCCGTCTACCTGTAGCAAGAATATTATAGTCTAGGGTTTAGGGTTTAGAGCGGGGATATTCTAGCATATTAAGTCAACAGACACAGAACCCTGAGAAAGTCAACACAGGTAAGAGTAAACCCTTAACCCGGCCAACTTATACTTAAACAGGACAGTGGCTGTGAGGTCTCTTTTCTTGAGCCAAAATGTTGTCGTAATCCGACTTGTCATGGGAACAACTTAGCTAGAAAGTGCTTTCTACACAATCCTCTACCT